TTCTCTTTCATATCATGGCGCTCATTAACTTGAGATAACAGAAAATGATGAAATGTTGAGGATTATGAGAAGAATTCCTATCAAAGGGAAATACCTTTTATTTCAACATTTTCTTTTTGGTAACAGGTGTAACAGAGACATTTATGTGCCTCTGCCGGGGATTAAACCCGGGGCCTCTGGCTTGTCAGTCCAGTGCTCTACCAATTGAGCTAAAGGGTTAACCCACTAGTTCAAGCTAGTAGGATGCCGTGTATCTTACGCTACCACATTGTCCCCCTCCAGAGAATGAGATGTCTTCATCTCTTCTGGAGTGCCCACGCCTGTGGGGCGAAGTTCTGGGGGCAATCACTCTCACCCACCAGAGAATACCCGGGTCCCAACGTGGGCGCCAAATGTAACAGAGACATTTATGTGCCTCTGCTGGGGATTGAACCCGGGGCGTCTGGCTTGCCAGTCCAGTGCTCTACCAATTGAGCTAAAGGGTTAACCCGCTATCCCAAGCTAGTAGGATGCCGTGTATCTTACACTACCACACAGGAATGACATGAATTGGTAGGGTATGGCACTTCCTGAATGTTTAATGCACAATACTAGTATTTAGTGGGAAACATAAGTAAAACACCAAAATTACATTAATCTGTGAATGAATTCAATTAATATGATGTGCAAAATTTGTACATATCTACACAGGATAATATTTTTTACATCATTTAAATAAGCATGTTAAAAAATTTCTGATAATGTGACATGACTTTTCAGTTAATTTTTTAATGAGAAAGAATACAATATTTTAATAAAACGCATTGGCGATGATCAAAACATAACTTGTAAGCAGTATAATCATTCACATTAACCGACGGGAAAAATACGGAAACCCATTTAGGACCTATCAAAAAATATTTTTGAAATCGATATAAGGAATTGTCGAATTTGTTTTAACGAATTTAATTCGTTATAACACTTTCGTTGAATTTGTTATAATGAATTTAATCTGTTATAACAAATTTATTGTATTCATTATAACGAATTTAAAAATTTGTTATAACAAATTTTGTTACAACGAATTAAATTCGTTTAATCAAATTCAACAAACGGGGCCTATAGAAAAATATTCTATATATATAGAATTCGATATAACGATTTGTCGAATACGTTTTAACGAATTTAATTTGTTAACACAAAATTTAGAATTTGTTTAAACGAATTAAATTCGTTATAACATGTTTTAAAATTCGTTATAACAAATTTAATTCGTTATAACAAATTTTTGAATTCGTATAACAGATTGAATTCGTTATAACGAATTCAAAGAAATTGTTATAACGAATTAAATTCGTTATAACAAATTCGACAATTCGTTTTATCGAATTCAAATATATTTTTTTGATAGGTCCTTCCGTAGAAAAACAATTTTCCTCTAATAAATATTTTTACTATTTTCTGATCGAAAGACAAAAAAGTAGACTTTTTTTTTAAATGAACCATATACAAGTTAAGCAAAAAGAATTTACCAAAGCAGAAAAAATCGAACCTGGCGGGGGGGGGGGGGGGAGGGAGGGGGTGCGCCGGTGCTACATCTATCTGGTTATTGAGAAGATTTTTAAAGATTTTCTGTGTATGTTCCTACGTAAAACTTTGATCACCCATTGTGGCCCCACCCTATTAATGGGTCATGATTTGAACAAAACTGATTTTGTTTTTGTTTGTTTGTTGTTATAATGTCCATCTTGAGAATTTTCATTCGTATGTAGTCGTCACCACTTGCCGGTGGAGGGCTGCAAATTTAGACCTATACTTGGCACTCAGGGTCATTGAGCAGTGAGGGATCTTTTACGTGCCAGCACCTCAAAACTGATCGTACGCTATATTTCACATATGTACGGAAGCGTCAAACATCGTACCGTAATCATTTCATTGATGTAAATGTATTGCTGACGAATTTAAAGGCACCCCCTAAAAGTATTTTACTATTCTAAAGTTTCTTTTTAAATTCGTAAATTCGTTCAACTGACAAAAATCACGGCAAAGGAGTATTCTACGAGGGGTTATCAAAAAGTTCGTGGACTAGCGTCATAAAATTAAAACCGCTTTAGGTACATCAATGAATTTTTACACATTTAGTTAGCATCATCTTTTCTATCTATAGAATAAACCATAAATCATAATTTTTATTTTTTAATAAATTGTTAGTGTTTTTGTAAGCAAAGGTATGTCCAGGCGGCGCAACCTCTAATATGACGTTTTTTTCTACCTGAGTGTAACTGAGAAAAACTCTTTAGATATGAGTATTTGTCATCAAAAAATCTCGTTAATTCAGGCATGTGGTACGACACATTTGTTCAGTAAAATTTGCAATTTTTACCCCATTCTGTAATTTCTATGAAATTTTATCGTAAATTTTATATGGAGTGTCCAAACAATTATGGGCTTGAAAATAACGTCAAAAAGGGGGAGGGGTTTCTTTTTCAAACACTCTATAGAGTTTCGCTCCTGGAAAAACTGGTATTGACCTAAGGAATGTTTAAACTTGCTACAGAAAAATAAAATGCATCCAGAGTACTTATTTTTAATGCCCAAAAAGATTCAGAGAGATGAAATATGCACAGTTAGTGTCGATTTGTAGTCAGTGTGTCAAAAGTCAGTCACGTCGAAAAGTGACGTTGATCATGTGTGGTAGAAATTGAACTCCAACAAGCTAAGTATTCTGGCATAATCAGGTGAGGATCTTCCCCATATAAAGATCCATTTACAATATTATATGTATTGAAAACAGCTGCTCATGATATTGTAAATTCATATAAATAAGACGGGTTTAAGTCCTTACTTAACCCCAGGTAATCTCATCAAGATAATTGCATGAGGTAGAGAGAGCGGACATTAAGAAACAATGACGTTAAGCGGACGTCATGACACTAAACGGCGACAGCGCCGGGTGGTCACATAAAGTCTTTTTAATTTTAGAATAATTTGGCAAATTATCAACGTATCTAGCTAAAATTTTCAACATTTCTTAAACTTTTGTTGTTTTATGTTCCGCTTAAATTTTGTAAGCAAAGACTACATATTATTAATTTTATCGCGTCAGTCCACGAACTTTTTGATAACCCCTCGTACTTAAGGTGACACTGTGACGGAAAAAGGGGAAAACTGACAAAAGTAGAATTTTTGGGTGACACATGCAAATTTTATTCAATTCTTGAAGATATTAGGTTTCAGAAAATTACAGGTTTCAGAACCTAAAAAATCTACTTTTTTGGAGAAAAATGAAATTTAAAAAAAAATAATTTTTGTTTTCCCCAACACAAAAATATTGCTTCTTTTCTTCCTCTTTATTGTACGCATGCTCAGAAAAGTTGAAGAATTTACCATGGTGTCAATTCCATAGATATAAATATCGGATGACCGAGGATTTTGATACAATCTTCAATAAAGATGATCAGAACTTATTTCTCACTTCTATTTGCTCCAATTCAATGTTGTTTACAAGTTTCACGCTAAAAATAAAAGTCGCTCGACCTTGACATTGTTGACATTGACGATAACAACAAAGCGGTAGATACAACCTTTGTTTTTCCGGCACTTATATTTTGCAGTTCTTTTCTTGCTTTACATGCACTTGAGATGTCAACACTTCGCTTTAGTCATAACTCTTTTGTTTTATGATACAATTATCTTAAAAGAAACACATGATTTTGACTCATTATGTAACTTTAAGTATAGTACTGTGGTCCCTTTTTACACATTTGGTTTGCCGATTAAATATTAGCATACGGTATTTTGATTGTTTTCGTTGTGTATAACAAGGTATTTCTAATTAAAACATTGTGCATTTATAATGAATAATTAAACATATCAAAAAATACAAGCCTATTTTTAACACCTATAGCACTAAAAAATGCAGGAACATTTCCCCCCAATCAGACTACGGTTTCTCTATTACATGGAAATGGGCGGAGACATTTAGATTAGTTACTATAAAAAGAAGATCTTGGTATGATATTTTTCTTTCAAAGACGAATTATATGTTCAAGATTCACATCAACTACAAATACAATTTTCTACTTACAAAACTTTGGCAATAAAAGCTATATAAAGATGAACCAAACAAGTCCATGCTGATCGATTTAAAACTGAGTACGTTTCAACTGAGAACTAGCACGTTTACTGGGGGCATTTACCCGTAACGATGCAAATCCACATGGCTTGCTATTATTCTAAACAGGTCATAAAGAGATTAATCGCATGTAAATGAAGTTAGCGAAGAGATTCAAAATCATAATACTTTTAATTAGAAAACATAGAGCACAGGGTTGTTCAACAAAGATATTTCCACTCAACATTTACACATATAATATGCACATTATATTTCAAACTCGACCCTGAACAAACCTGTGCTCGGTGTTTACGCAAGCTTTGAAGTGTGTACCTGTCACTGATTTCTTTTGATACTAGTATTCATGAAAATCAAAGGACCCTACCTTCAACGCGCAGCTTCGTATGCTATCTATATCTATTGTTTGACATTTTTAGATGATGATTCAAATAATAAAGACATTAGTTGATAATAAAATTTAATTTTTAAAAATTTTAATAAATGTTCGAAATTTGACGAGTAACCGGGGACCACAGATAAACCTCATTGAGACTTGTTCTTTTACTTCCTTATTGACACATATTCCTGTCGAAAATATACCTCTTGTGCAAGACTGAATGATCAATTTATCATCATCTCAAAATCTGCATCAAATGAAATGAGATAATACTAGTACCTGATTCGTACGTGCATGTAAATGCATGTGCATTTACCGTCGATGGATCGCCAAAAGATACCTTTAATTTTTCATAATCAAAGATATCAATTCATTTGATGCGTGCAACAATTCAATTAAAGATCTCTTCAAATTATTGACTCGATGAGCAGAAATTAAATGAATGCGTGCCGCATCAAACCAAATATTGCTCTCGTCAATATATTTGGTAATAAATGTAAAATTTCTTACCTCTGTGTTCTCGACATATTGTCGTTAGGAATAATAAGATGAAGTGTATATAAACATTCCTCATCATCGGAAAATGGCTAAAAGTTTTGACAGAATGACAATTTTTTAACAGGATTAGTGACACAAGAAAAAACAGCAGTGCAGAAAAATGAAGAACTTTATCAAGTGAGTACAAGTATTTATGCACATGGGTTAGTACTGCAGTTATGGGCACTTATATCCCACTATAATGGAGATTTTCACAAAATTGGTCGATCCTTTGTAACACCGATCCTTATGTTTTTTTAAGAATAGCTATTGTGACGCGGCTCGAAACGTCAACAAAGTTTGGGTTCGGATATTTAACGAGCCAGTACCGTAATATGTAGCGTAATCTCCTTAGTTGAAGAATTCACAAGAAAATAAATCCAGAATACTAAGACACTATGAAGTTTATTAAAATACAAAAAATAATGTGGGATTGTTGATCAAACAATGAAATAAAAACAATAAATTCAAACACCCATGAGACTATTTGTTGCCCTAATTATTTAAAGAAAACTACTGGTGAAGTTATGGATGAATAACCCCGGTGAATAAATTGTGGTGAATCGACGCCACCAACAATTCCTGATCACCAGTACTGTTGCTGCTGTTAAGCTATGATGAATCAACGCCACCAACAGCTTTCTATAATCCAAAGGTCTTAAACACCTGTAACTCGGTGTAAAAACATCACCAGTAGTAATTAGCTAATTCCTATTTAATAAAGGTTTAAGTTTCAAGAATTCTATAAGCACACCATAAATAATCCAGATTTCACCCAAATTTACCAAGGAAACTAATCCAATTATTAACCATAAAATCACCAGTTTAAATTAACAAATTAACCAATTATGAAAATATACCAATTCACGGTCAGCTCTTAATTGTGCCTCTGACATCTTCGGGATCTTACAAGAAGAACTGCAAAGTCTAATGGTCTCTGTAACGGTTTTAAATGCTGATGCTGTAATCAAATGACTTAGCTCACCAGGAGGTCCCATCTTCCCATTTAGCCTGCTTACTAAGACTCCGGCTTACCAATACATAGATCTTATCAATGTAACTTTTGTCTAAAGCTTGGAATATACTCTATCTAACCTGGTAACGGTATAATCTTTTCTATGTTTGACAAAATGCTATTGGTCTTCTTTAGGGTTGATTTGCTCACTTTGAACCTACTTCCCCAAACATCCAAAATAATATGAGTTTGCATATCAATAAGTAGGTCTTCATGTCGAGGTCTTTTGGCCTCTTCAAAGAAATCTTCCTCCGAAGATGATAACTGTAAAGGTACCTCGTCTTCGCTCTTCCTCTTTTCTTTTGTTTCTCTTTCTCTTTGTAAAGTGTTACTTGGAGTTGGTCGTGGAAGTTTAATTTGTAGAACTTCATTTGGCAATCTTTTCAAACAGTACTCTTTGTACATACCTTCTGCTTTGTCTCCTTCTGTTTTCGTTTTCAGATCATAGCATTTTGTCTTAAAATTCCTTCCACATGGTGAATGCTCTTCTCCCTTCTTTCTTAGTTTTCTTTTGCAGTTGCAGTATTGCCAGGAAAATCCCGAGTGCTGTTCTAATACATGTCTATTAACAGAATACTTGGACTCTGACTGAAGATCACAGATCTTGCAGAAGAATGTGGTGACCTGTAAAATAGAAATAGTTATATATAAAACAATTATCATAATTGCTTCAAATCATTTCATAATCCGTAAATCTGTTTGGTAATTTTCTTTGTCTTTTACTGCTAATGGATGTTTCTTTTAAATGGTCATTTACAGAATTCTTGAAACCTGAGTTTGAATTTTCATCTGTCTGCAATTCATTTATATGTTCAGACCCCCCATAAGTTTCAGTTTCACATTCTTGAAAATTCACAATATCTCTATTTTCACATTCTCTATCAAACAAAATAACACCATCTGTAATTTCAAAATTTATTTCTTCTGGTTGTTTTTCTTTTACATGAAACTTTGGTTGATTTTCTCCAACATATGGCTTGAGTCTGTTTGAATGAACAACTTTTGGCTTCGACTTTGAAGTCTCTTGAATTCTGTACAAAACATCATTTAAACGGTGTGTCACTAAAAATGGGCCTTGCCAAGGTCTTTGTAATTTTGGTGATATTCCTTTCTTTCTTGCCAAATTATGCAACCACACTGCATCTCCCTCTACGTACTTCTTAAAATTCATCCTTTTATCATAATTTTCTTTCATTTTACCAGCAGCAATCTGTAAGTTCTTCCGTGCATATTCATGAATTTCCTCTAACTTTTCCTCTAGTTCATATGCATATTCAGAATTGTATTCATTTTCCTTTTCTTCTGGTAGTCTTTCAAAATAAAGATCAACTGGAAGTAAAATTTCTCTTCCTAACATCATACAGCACGGTGTAACTCCTGTCGATGCATGAACTGATGATCTGTAAGCCATCATGATAAAAGGTATATATATTTGTCCCAGTCTTTTTGATGTGGCTCTACAAACATTGAAAGCATATTTTCAATTGTCTGATTAGCTCTTTCAACCTTGCCATCTGATTGTGGTCTGTAAGGGCTTGTACGAGTCTTCTGAATTCCTAGAAGTTTACACATCTCTTTAAAAATATTTGATTCAAAATTACTTCCTTGATCTGAATGTAATTCTCTTGGAACTCCAGATTTTGTAATCATATTTTCAATTAATGCGTTTGCCACTGTTATAGCCTCCTGGTCAGGTAATGGAACTGCTTCTGTCCATTTTGTAAAATAATCCTCCATAACAAGTAAATATCTGTTTCCATTATCACTCAAAGGTAAAGGGCCCATTATATCCAGAGCAACACGTTCCATAGGAATTCCAACGGTGTATCTCTGTAATGGTCCTTTATAATGTTGTTTCGGTCTTTTCCTTGATGCACATAAATCACATGTTTTACACAGGTGTTCAACATCTCTTCTCATCCCATACCAGAAAAATCTAGCTTTAATCCGTTCTAATGTCTTATTTACTCCTAAATGTCCAGAAGATGGTGAACTGTGCAATTCATTCAAAATAAATGACCTTAGCTCTTTAGGTAATGCCAGCTTCCACACAATCTGATGTCCCGAATCAGATTCCCACCTTTGACATAAAATATCTTGTCTAAGGTGAAGTGAATCCCATCTGGCTAAGTAATACTTAACTTCCCTGCTTTCAGGTGAAATAATTCTCCATTCTGGCTTTTCACAAGACATTAATTGGCCTAGGACTTTATCATTTTCTTGAAGCTTCTTTAAATTCATAAGGGAGATTACTCCAGTTTCTTGAATACTCTTCATTATATCTTGACAACTTTCACCTTCACTTCCAATCACTGAGCTCCCATCTGAGTCATTCCCTTGAAATCTCTCTGTGGTTTGGGACACTCTATTACATTATCCAACCATCATTTCCGAAGATAATGAGCTGCAGATCTCTGTCAAAGTCTCAGGATAAGTCATTCCAGTTTGAGTTTGTACGTCACGATGAGTATCAAATCTGTGATCCTTTTTATCACAATGTGAACACTCACTCGCACAGGGTCTTCTACTTAAAGAATCCGCATTATTGTGCACTCTTCTTTGTCTGTATTCAATTTTCATGTCATACATTGCCAGAATTTCCAGCCATCGGGCCATTTGCCCTTCAGGATTCTTAAAATTCATAAGCCACCGAAGTGCGCCATGGTCAATCCGGACTTTAAAATACCGGCCTATTAGATAATGATGAAATTGTTGAATTGCAGCTACAACAGCTAACAGTTCTTTTCTGGTCACACAGTATCTCCGTTCAGGTTTACTTAAAGTTCTGCTATAATAAGCAATTACTTTTTCCATCCCGTCTTGAACTTGGGAGATCACAGCTCCTATTCCGGTGTCACATGCATCTGTGTCTAAAATAAACATTCCTTCTTCTTTAGGATATGCTAGTATGGGTGATGAAATTAATTTTTCTTTTAATGTTGAAAATGCATCCTCACACTTCTCAGTCCATAGAAACTGTTTTCCTTTCTCAGTCAACTGATGTAATGGTTTTGCAATTTCTGCAAAGTTCTTGATAAATCTTCTATAATAGGAACACAATCCTAAGAAACTTCGGACTCCCTTAACTGTCTTTGGAGTTGGCCACTCTTTTACAGCTTGAACTTTTTCCGTGTCAGTTGAAATTCCATTTTCACTTACAACATGTCCCAAGAATTTCACTTCTTTACAAAAAAGTTGAAACTTTTCTGGGTTAAGCTTTAGATTAGCTCCTTTTAACCTGTCAAAAACTTTTCGTAAATTATTTATATGTTCTGTGAATGATTTCCCTGTCACAATGATGTCATATAAATACACAAGACACAATTCTCTGTTCAATCCACTAAGAAATTGCTCCATTAATCTCTCAAATGTAGCGGGGGCATTGCATAATCCAAATGGCATTGTACGAAACTGCCAAAATCCATTTTCACTAGTTGTAAATGCAGTTTTTAATCTGTCTTCCTCTTGAACTGATACCTGCCAGTATCCACTTTTTAAATCCAATGCAGAAAACCACACTGATCCGGATAAAGCATCCAGACAATCATCTGTTCTTGGTAATGGATGTGAATCTTTTACAGTAACATCATTTAGTTTCCTGTAATCTATACAAAATCTTGTTTCACCATTTTCTTTTTCACGAGAACAATAGGTGAAGCCCAAGGACTAATGGATGGTTCTATAATTCCTTGATCTTTCATTTCTTGAATAACTTTAGAAACTTCATCTCTCTTTGATAGTGGAACTCTCCTTGGTCTTTGCTTGATGGGTTGCGCAACACCAGTATCGATTTTATGCTTAACAATTGAGATTTGTCCTAAATCTTGAGAATTTCTGCTAAAACTTGTCTCATATTCAAGCAACAATTCTCTCAAAACATCTTTTTCCACAGTAGTTAAATTCTTTGAAGAATTTTCAAACATTTGCTTGAGATGATCTGGCACTGTCATGGATAATTCCTTCTTTTGCAAATTATTTACAATTACACTAGACAAATCCTGCTGAGAAAAATCCATTATCTCACTAACTGGTTCACAAATAC